CCATCAGGCAAGAATGAGAAAATTGACTTGGAATTGAACGGAAAGGCCATAAATTAATGCAAAAAAACCATTTTAATGTAACATGGCATGAATGAGTGATGATCTTGAACACTTTTATACACAAAGATAGGTTGAGTGTTATTCTCTTAACAATTATGATCAAACCAAAAAGATTCTTCAAGACTTGATTTCTTTATCATGTGAAACTTAACTTGTGGTTGATAGTATTAAGCCATTTTTTTATCAATCTTTCTTGCTTGTAGAATTTGTCTTTATCAAAACACTTTGGGAAGCTTGACTTCACAATTGAGTATTCATCCTGGTGCCACTAAGATGTATCAGGACTTAAAGAAATTATTTTGGTGGGGAATAAAAAAAGCATATGAATTTGTCTATGCTTGTTTGACTTATCAAAAGTCGAAAATTGAACATCATAAACCATCAGGTCCAATTCAACCTTTGGGTATTCTAGAGTGGAAGTGGGATATCATTTCCATGGATTTCGTAACAAGTTTACAGAAGATGACAAAGGGATGTGATTCTATTTGGGTGATTGTTAATAGACTGACTAAATCGGCTCATTTAATACCAATTAGGATCAACTATACCTTGCAGAAGTTAATTGGGTTGTATATCGAGAAGATTTTTAGTTTGCATGGTATTCCTTCGAGCAATGTATCAGATAGTGATCAATGGTTCACGTCAAGGTTTTGGCAGGGTTTACAGCAAGCCTTAGGTACTAAGCTGAAGTTGAGTTTTGTTTATCATCCGCATGCTGATGGGAAAACAAAGAGGATTATCCAATCTTTGGAGGATTTGTTGAGGGCTTGTATGCTAGAACAACGAAGTGATTTGGATAGCTACTTGTCATTGATTGAGTTTACTTACAATAATAGTTTCCATTCGAGTACTGGGATGACCCCGTTTAAGGCGTTTTATGATAGGAGGTGTAGGACACCTATGTGTTGGTTCGAATCTGGTGAGAGTGCGGTAATTGGACTCAAGATTATATAACAAACTTCTGAGAAGATCAAAATGATTCAAGAGAAGATGAAAGCTTCGCAGAGTCGCTAGAAGAGTTACCATGATAAGAGGAGAAAGGCACTTGAGTTCCAAGAGGAAGACCATGTGTTGTTTAGGGTTACCCCAGTAGTCGATGTTGTAGAGCCTTGAAGTCTCGAAAGCTCGCGCCACATTTTATTGGTCCATACCATATCTTGCAGAAGATAAGAGAGGTAGCATATCTGATTTCCTTGCCACCGCCGCTTGCTAATCTTCATGATCTGTTTTATGTGTCTCATTTAAGGAGATACATTCCAGATCCGTCTCATGTGATTCAAGTGGATGATTACAGGTGAGAGAGAACCTGACCGTGGAGGCATCACCCATGTGGATACATGATCGAGAAGTGAAACAGATGCGTGGAAAGGAGATTGCCTTGTTGAAGGTAGTGTGGGAAGGACCAATTGGTGGAAGCATAACTTGGGAGTTGGAGAGCCAAATGCGAGAGTCGTATCCGACTTTGTTTTCTTCAGGTAATTTTCGAGGGGAAAAAATCTTAAGTGGGAGAGATTTGTAACACCCCATTTTTCTGATTAGATGTTTTAGTATATTTTATTTGTTAGAATTATGTATTTTTAATGATTATTTTATTTTTGGGTGGTCGTGGGGTATGTATCATTTTTTTAGAGGTATAGAGGAGTGATAGAAGTGAGTAGAATAATTTGGAGTTGTTTTAGTAATTGAAGATAATGTTTAACTATTTTTATTATATTAAATAGTGAAAATAGGAGTTTATTTAATTAAATGAGTAAATAAAATTTTGGAAAAATAAAATAATAAAAAGAAGGCAGTGTGTAGAGATTTCGAGGGCGATGTGGTAATTACAAGGTTAAGTTGAGGGTAGTATAGGGAAAGCCTAATGGGAGAAATTTGTTTATTAGAAAAAGAGGGAATTTAGAAAAAGGGTTAGAATTCATCTTATGTAGGAACTTGGAGAAAAGGGGAGGAAGTCTAGGGCGAAAGGTTAAAGGTGATCTAGAGGACGGTGAGTGTTTTGCTTCAGATTTTTGCAAGGAATTCAGGTAAGGGTGAGAAATTGTTTCAATAATAAAGGGTATGATGAAAGGTAGAGTGGAGGGACTCATAATCTTCCATAAGATTTGTTACTTTTTTATTGATGATGACAATACTATATTTATATGCAATGATATGAATTATAACCATGTATATTGATATGTTACTGCTCTGATATGAATTGTAAACTTGTGTATTGATATGTTGTTGTTGTGATGTGCTTGAGTCAAATGAATCATGTTGAATTTAATGATTTAGAGATGATAAAAATGATGATATTGTTGTAATTTGTTGTTGATCCATGAATCCATGAAGTAATAGATGAGTTTAGGGTGCGATAGCAGTAGGAATTTAGATTAATATGACAGATTTTTGTAAAATAAGTAGTTGTTATATAAGGTCATGTGTCGACGTGTTCGATGCATGCGTTGACCTGTATAGGTCATGCGTCGACTTGTAAAGGTTATGAGTCGACACATGCAGTAAGCACATCAAACAGAATGCTATAGGCTTTAAAAATGCGGTACATGCGTCGACCTGTACATGTTGTGCCGACCTGTACATGTCATGCGTCGACACATAACTGCCAGAATGTTCTCTTTGCATTGTTTGACGATTTTGACCATAACTTCGTATATTAAAATGGCATGTCGTTTGAAGCGTTGGAAATATAACGCTCAGGTCTATAATGTGGCAGTGATTAGTAAAATGTTTGAATATTATTTCATGTGCCTACTGTGTCAAAAAATGTGTTGGTTTATATGTTTGGTTGATGAATTGTTGCATTGTTGTAAATCGTTATGTGATAATGATGTTGTTATGTCGATGATGTTATGATGATGTTGTTAAGGTGATGACGAGTTGTTGATGTTTGTTGATGTTATTGACGTTGTAACATGAATTGATTGTTGCATGATGGATAATGTGATCCATAAATGATGAGATGTGTATGGGGATCTGCTTGGTGAACCTTGGTGTGAGAATGCATGTTGTTAAGAGTCATGCATCATGGTGTACGAGCTTTGGTCCATTTTGTATGCTATGATCCTATGGTGGGGATCGGAAGCGAGTAGTCGATTTCAAGTAGGAATCGGTGAATCGTTACTTATGGTGGTGGTAACCATTTGGTGTACTTTGGTCCTATTATGGGAATCAGAAGTGAGATAAACCTGAGTGTTCATGAAAGGTACCACATGCATATGAGTCGTTATTGGTGTCCTGAGTTGCATAGCATGAGTGAAATGCATGTGTGGAATAACTCTGTGTGATGATAATGTTGTTGGGTATGATGTTGATGATGATTTGGGTGTGAGAATGTGATGTGTTGTGCATGATTGTGTATATGTTGTACTCTATTTTACATCCTATACCGTTTATTATTGAAGTGAATTTTCACCTCTTTTATTTGACTGTTGTCTTTACGTGGACATCGTGCAGATACTCAGGAGTAGCATTGTTAAAGTAAGTGAAAGTTAACTCATGGAGTTGCTTCTTAGTTTTATCATTCAATTAGAAGTGTCTTACTCTGATTATGTAACATCAAGTTGAAAACACTTGTTTAGCTTCTTATGACATGTTTATATTGAAGTATTACAACCGATGTGGTTGTTGGACTAATTTATACACCTTTTTTTATTGCGTTATGAAAGTTGAAGTTTATGAGACTAAATGTCTTAAATTGCAATTTTAATTGATTTGATAATGATTATATTGCAATCATACTTTAAAATAGAAGTGAGCATGCGATGACAAGTTTAAAATATTTTGTTGTAACCCACATTTCAGAACAGAATGTGTTTGTGATGTGTGTTTAAAATATTTTGTTGTAACCCACATTTCAGAACAGAATGTGTTTGTGATGTGTGTGACATATTGTGGACTCCCGCAGCTTCATCTATTATTGATCATGTCATTGATTTTGATAGGATGATGAACAACAATATTGGCTTTCTAGGAACAATTATCCTTTTTAAGAGAAAACTTCAAGATGTTATTAAACAATATCCTTTGCAAAGAGAAAACTTCATGATGTTATTAAACAATATCCTTTTTAATGAGAAAACTTTATGATGTTATTGATGATCGAAGCATATTGGCTTTCTAGGAACAATATCCTTTTTAAGAGAAAACTTCATGATGTTATTGATGTAATCCCTTTGATCTCATACATTTTCATGTTTCTAACAATTTCCAAAACAAAAAAAATAGAATAAAATTGAAAAGAGTGTAAAAATCAAATATATTTGAACATTTTTCTTAAAATGTGATTTTCTTTTTTATATAGTTATATGAGACCGAAGGGAGTAATATCTTTGAGTAATTCTCTTTCACTGCTAGATTCACAAGTGCTATCCATAGTGATAAAAAAGATTTGTTCGGATGGAATACAACAATACAACTTATGCTCCCATTTAATACATAATTCCTTATAAAAAAATATCTTAACTCTTAAAATGTAAGACTCTCAATTAAAATCTTTTAGTAAGAAGTCGGAGTCCCACACAAGATATTACGGCCATAAATTTCATCTAAAATATAAAAAAGGCAACAAAAATGTCAGAATTTTCTTCTAGTTTCAGAAAAAAGGCAATATTATAAGTTGATGAGGCAGAAAGGTTCGTTTCAAATCAAAACACAGTATACCATAGATTCTTAAGAATAAGAATATATAACAGTAAACATACGTACATCTGAAAAACAGTCTCAAAACATATAAATAGAGCATAGTCTTGTCTTTTATATATATGCAAAGAACATGAGATCGATCAACTGTCTAATTGCAATGACATAGCACCACAACACAAGATCGAGTCAAGGAAAATAGATAGCAGTGTGCCTAGCGATTATAGCGATTATTCGACGCTCTCCTTGAACATATAACATAATTAAACATCCATAATATAATAGCTAATACATAATGAAACCTACTCTCCATTGATTAAGTCCATAACAACACGCTTAATGCTTCCTTCGTTCTTCAACAGCAGCCTCTTGTTAGTCTCTCTGTCACAGAAACCCTGCATTCACAAATGACATTCATCAACCAAAAAGCATCAACAAAAACAACATAAGCAATGCATATGATAATAAAAGTAAATCTCAATTTGCAGTTAAGAAAATATGAGAACAGAATTGAAGTTAAGATAATATGCAAAACTGGTTTATGAAGCAGTAAATAGGTGACGGGGTGTAGAGTTCAAAATTTGCACCGCAGCCAATACTAGTTATATACAGTGGGAATGTAAGACAGGAGAGGAAATGCAGCAGGGTTCAGGGGTTAGATACATTGATAGTGGGTGTTATTGGCTAACATTTGAAAGTGGATTTCTTCAGCGGTTTTTCTTCTGCATCTTATTTGGAGTTTGAAGTCTGATAGTGATTATATTGTTTTGAACTAGTGATCTATTTTTTGTAATTACGCCTCTAGTTTTATTGTTTTTAATGATTGTTATTAAAAAGAAGTCAAGAGAACATCAATCAGACCAAATGAAAAAGCAATCAAGAAAACAACTTACCATATCGTGTAACTCCTCAAGGAGAGGATCCCACTCAGAAACACCACAGAGTTCATCTATTGACTGCTCCAGATTGTACTCATTCATTCTCAGAACCTCTTTGTTTAAATCAATCTGCTTAAAACCCATCTCCTCAAGCTCTTTAAGGAGGGCCTCTTCCACAGAATCATTTCCATCCTTGTCTGAAGAGAATGATAGTGCATCCGCAGTTGAGGCTTGCTGGTTGGAGGGAACGGCTGGGGTTGTGCCAGATAAGTCAATTATGGGGTAAGTAACAGTTGAAGGTGTTGCCAAAATTGCAGGGGCTGCGCCAGAGAAATCAATGATGGGGTAAGAAACAGATGAAGATGCCTCCGGAATTGCAGGGACTGAGGCAGCAGAGCCAGCAAATATTGCTTTATTTGTAGGAAATTCATATCCCAGTTCTTGTCTTAGTTCCTTATCAACTATTTGATTCACAGGTTCAGGTGGAGCATTGGGATTTTTGGGTTGATGAAAAGCATCATCCTCAACAGGTTGAACATTGATATCTATAATCTGAGGCCCTTCAGAGCTACTCACACCAAGGGGAATATTCAAGTTCAGGCCTTGAGAGCTATCATAGAATGAGTCCTTGAGAGAAGCATCAACCTTCAAGTATGATAATTTAAGAGGGAAGAATATTATTACACCATTAGGAAGAAAACTTAGAGTTTCTGAGCTAAAACTGTATACAGGAAAGCAAAACTGTCATTCTACCTGTATAAGGACCCAAACCCGTTGGCCAAATTTATGTCCAGAGAGAGATGCCATCCTCCAGTATGATATGTATCTACCAGGTGACTGGGGTGCGATAAAATCAACTGCAACGTCAAGCTCCATCTCCGAGGATATACCAGAATCGGGAACCTGGAAAATTTAATCAGAATATAAGATTGATTATTAAACGATTAACAGGCGAAACAAACCTAGAGAAAAGCTAATTAAAATAAAGAAATGATAGAACTACTACAGCATGAATAATTAGCAAACCTCCAAGTCAACAGAATGTGATTCACTTAATCTATCCCCTCCAATCCAAACAAGTTGAGTTCCCTTGGGCCACGCTACTGTGCCATTGTTGCGCATCCGCCAGATCTTCGTGAACGGAGTAGATGGAGCCATCATTGTACCATCTATAACATTGACATCCAAAATGAACCGACTATCTAGCCTTTGCCTTGCATGCTTCGCAGCTGTTTTTAAGACACGCGGTGGTATCTTTGGAAACCTCTGCGCCATAAGAAAAAAGGTATCAATACGTGTAAAGTAACATAAGAAGAAAAAAAAAGATAGAAATGAGTTCAAATGTAGTTACAAATTCTTTGGGATTCGGATATAAACATCTTGGACCCCGAAAAGATGCAGGACGGTCCATCCTGATATAATCAGTCTGATTACCAAATTCATTGAAGCAAATGCTGCAGAGGTCATAGTTTTGTTTCCTGCATAATGGACAAAAAAAGTCAAGAAACACCCCCCCTAAAAGCTTTTTACAATATCCAAATAAAAGGAAGCGCACTCACACTTTGGATTTGAAACGAGGTCCAGTTATTGGATAGACTCCACAGCCATCACAGCGGACACCCTTGTGAAACATACCATTCAATGCATCAGAGTGACTGTGGCTCCTTTTAAATGGAGGAATGCCAAAGTTACCTAGAGGATGTGGCATTGGATGATGAGCATGTGTCCCAGAAAATGGACAGTCAAAAGGAGCACCGAAACTTATTGCGGGATTCTTGTTTAAGTTAGGAACAGCAGAATTCGTTGATGTTACACATCTTTCATGCTTACCAGCAAAACTGTCATCAATAGACGCTTTACCTTTGTCAACACTAACAGGAACTCTTTCACCCTTAAGAGCAACACTGTCATCAAAAGACACTTTACCCTTGTCAACACTAACAGGAACTGCTGATGAGAGTGGTACTTTATTTATATTGGTGGATGAATTGAGATCAACAGCAGCAATTCCCACATTTCCAGAGTCCACCTGTTGACCTGCACTGGAGGCTGCCAGTACATTTCTATTGACATCCGAAACAGAACCCAGAAATGGTGACTGTGGACCTCTTGCTTCGGAAGTGGAAAGTTCTTCAGCAACATTACTTTTGGAGCTTGGACCAGCTGCAACAAGAGGGGCCCTGTGGTGAGATTTCAGATGTGTTTTTGAAATCGAATCAGTTAAATTACGAAGCACTTGTCTTGCAGCTGCAGTTTTTAAAAGTGATAAATTAGAAAAAGCCTCCAGCACATCTGGCACAGAATTTGAAACACCAGAAGCAGAATCCACAGATGGAGACTGTGAACCTCTTGCTTCTGGAGTGACAGACTCATTCGGAACACCTTTTTTTGAGCCTGAGCCACCTGCAGTATGAGAATTGCCTCGAGGCTTTAGAACGGACTGTCCAATTTTGGAAATTGAATCAGCAATATTTGCTAGCACTGGATTTGAAGAAGCGGCTTTGGAAAATGACGACTGAAGAGCCTCTCGCAACGGCTCAGGCAGAGCTAGCAAAGCATCAGCTAGAAACGGGTCTGAGACAGAATTAGCTCTTAAAGGAGTAGCACTTCCACTAGAGCCATCAGCAACTGATTTACCATCAGAATTATCAATCATATGTACATCAATTCTCAAGAACTTCAATTGTTGTCTCATAACATCGGCCAAATCTTCATCATCCACAAGATTCACCAAGTCACCATCTTCATCCACATATCTCAGAATAAAATTAGCATCAGTTGTGAAACTGAAAACAGAGCATATCTTAGCCCTCAACCCAACTATGTTAAGATCAAGTCGATTATTCTCATCCACGCGAACATTGAATCGCCTGAGAGTATCTCCATACTTCGCCTGTACAGCAATAATAAGTAACATAATATGAAATCAGGCTATTATATATTAGGGTTAAACTATTTTCATGAAACCGATCCTTCAGTTCAAAAAACAAAATAACTCGTGAAAACCTAACATGCATAAATAACAATTTAACCGTTTCAGTTCCATAATAAAACTAGATGCAAAATTATAAGGGGATGCACAACGAGAACCGAATTGAAAGCGTGATAATCAAACAAAAAATAGAAGAAAAAAATGAGAAAATTGCGATCGGTACCTTGATCACGAGAGAAGAATCCATAGCTATGAAAGACGAACGAGAGCGTAGCAGTTATAGAAGAAGAGAACTGAAACCCTAATTCCTAAAAATTCGAAACTTGTTCGGATCAGAAATTTATAGTGATAACTGGCTTTAGCGTACCCGTTAGCCGCTTTTAACGCTCTCTGAAGCGGGGAGTGGGATATATATACTGCTCTGCTTGGCTTTGCGAACAAGAAATTTTCTTTCGACTTTTTTCGTTTATTATTTATAAATTTATATTTCTTCGTTGCAAAGTTATTTGTGGGACCCACAATTAGATATTATCCATTGATTGATGAATTTATTATTCATAATTCCTAACAATATATCTGCCCGCATTAGTTGCTTATTAGTTTCTTAAGCTTTAAGTCTCTTTTTTTTCAATAATTAAATATAAAATTATTTTATTATTTAAATGTTTTACAATAAAAATAAAATATATCTTTTATTTGTTAAAAAATAGACGGATGAATTCTAACTTTTATTTTTTGTTTTTTTACTTTTATTTAATAAATAATATTTTATTGAATTCTTCAAAATTTTGATATTTGCCTTGTGATCGATTTCAATATAATCAATATCACCATCCACTAACAATATTTGTGAGAGTTATTACATAGTCGTGGCCATAAGCGGGAAATATCTCTCTTCGGGTAGATAATTTATTTTGGGATTAAATATACTTTATCCCTTGCATGTGAATGAGTTTTGATTTACTCTCCGTAATATATTTTTATATTTATTTCTCCCTTTTAATGTAAAGATTCTTTTGTTTTGGTCTCTTAGTTAACAACTTGGACATTGTCTCTATTCATTCATTCCATCATTTTGTTTTTCATCTTCCACTCCAAGCTTCCATTTTCCATCATTTTCTTCTAATTGTTCCAGACATCTATTCATCTTCTAATCGTCGTCTTTTTCATCATTCCTTCCCATTTAATCATCATTCCTACATATTTAAGTCTTTTAGATATTAGGATTTGAAAAGAATGGGTGGAAGCAAAAAAAAACATCATCAATTGGCAACTCAAGTTGATTGAATTTACTCATATGTAGATGTGATCAAGCAACGAAGATGTGGATCGCAAATACAATCGAAAATCCTAATAGAAAATTCTAGAGATGTCAAAATGTTGGGGAAAGAAATTTTAAATATGTGTCTTCATTTTTCTCTAAGTTAAACTCATCCATATTCTGTTTGTAATATGTAGACTGTGAAAAGATGTGACATATTTATCTGGGATGATGAACTTGGTCAAGTTCATGGTAGGAATGGAAATCAAAAGATTCCAGCAAATTACAATAATTATGAAATGATAATGGCTTATTTGAGTGAATTTGTGTCGTACCTCGAAAAATACGATCCTCGCAATGGACGCGGAAAAAATGTTCGAACAGAGTCGCCACCAAACTTTATTCATTCCAAGGATGGAATAGGAAAATATCGATAAAACCTTTAAGGAGATAAGAACATGGTCATCGCAACCAATATTCTAGGTTCAGGAGTCGATTACATAGAGGGAAGGTATTAGCACCCTCTACATCCGTTGTACTCAACGGGAACCTCTTGATTCGATTCGCGAGAGAAAGTTAACTATGTTTGTTTATCTTCTAAGGAATTGCTTGCTAATGGGAAAAGGGGTGATTATTAAGATAGGGTGCTCGCCAAGGATTAGGGCCCTTGTGTCTACGTATGTTCACTTGTAAGAAGTGGAAAATCAGAGCATTCATAGTTCGTGGGACTACGGATAAAATAGGAGATTGTGGGAAATGTGCTCGCTAGGATCATCGCAATCTTATGCCTACGTATTCTCAACGAATGTGAGAAATCAGAGCAGCCGTAGTTCGGCCAACTACGGTAAAATGGTTTGAAACTGAACGAGTGTTTAGGTCGCATTCTAACTGCTAAACATTGGCTTGTCTGCTCGCTAGGGGAGGCTGAAGCACGAGTTCATATGCACGGAAGAAGGGAATAAACAATGTTCTTTGGTAAAAGGTATGGGAACCTAAAGGTGGGAAAGAAAGAAAAGTGGAAAAGTGCTCGCTAGGATCATCGCAATCATATGCCTACGTATTCTCATTGATAAATGAGAAATCAGAGCAGCCGTAGTTCGGCTAACTACGATTTGCTAAAAGGTTTGTGTTTGAAATGAACGAGAGTTTAGGTCGCATTCTAACTGCTAAACATTGGTTTGTCTGCTCGCTAGGGGAGACTGAAGCTCGAGTTTTTTATGCGCGGAAGAATGGGCTAAACAATGTTCTTGGTAAAAGGATTGTTTAAATGGTAGGTCGCGCGAGGGCGAGGAATATTGTTTGTAAGTATTGGGATATTTAACTAGAGGTGACGACTACCTGAAGCTTAAGAAAGGCTTCTCGGGCCCAAGTAATCGGAAGAGTGAACCAAAGACTTGGAGCTCTCTCTTTTTCAACCTCAAATATGAAGGAATAGGATGCGGTTAAGAGTGGGTTAATCGGATGACGATTACTCGAAGCTCGAAAAAGACTCATCGGTCCCTAAGTAATCGGGAGAGTGAACCAAAGACTTGGAGCTCTCTCTTTTTCATCCCAAGGAGGGAAATGGGTACGGTTCGAGTAAGTGGATTGGATGACAATTACTCGAAGCTTAAGAAAGACTTCTCGGACCCAAGTAATCGGGAAAGCGAACCAAAGACTTGGAACACTTTCTTTTTCATCGCAAAAGGAATTGTTTGAATTGAGTTTGAAAGATAGGATGTGATTAAAGTATTTTAACAGATGAGGATTATTCGAAGTTTAAGAAAGACTTCTCGGACCTCAAATAATCGGAAGAGTGAACCAATGACTTGGAGCTCTCTTCTTTTCTCATCTAATATTATGAAAGATGTTTAATATGATTAGAGTGTATTAATCGGATGACGATTACTCGAAGCTTAAGAAAGACTTCTCGGACCCAAGTAATCGGGAGAGTGAACCAAAGACTTGGAGCTTTCTCTTTTTCATCTATGTGTTTAAGAAAATAGATTTGAATTTGTTTATCATTTTTAGAAGACAATTGTTCGAGCTTAAAAAAGACTTCTCGGACCCAAACAATTGGGAGAAAGAACCAAAGACTTGGAGCTCTCTCTTTTTCATCTTTTATTGAAATTGTATTTGAGTAGTTTTTAAGTGTTTTAATTTGATTTGAGAAAATACTCTATGCGAGTCGAGATTTGAAATTAGAGTTTTAACGTGTACACTAGCAAAGTGGGCTAGTCTTCTAAGTGACCAACTAGAAATAATTGATCAAATAGATATCACTGTAAGGAAGCCCATGATTATGCTTTAAAATGTTGTGTATTGTGATCAAAGGTTGATGGCGAGGCTTTGAAAGCACTCGACTTACAAGGGTAAAAAATGGCTTGACTAATCGAGAGTTATTTTGAAAAATGGTTTAAAGTATTAAAGTATAAATAAGATAAAAGTGTTAAAAGAAATTATTACATTTTATGGGAGAAGGGACACATTTTATCAAATGGGGATGTAACAAAGCAATTAGATAAATCGAACCCACAAGACATCAAATGATTCTTAAATCAGAATCTAAACTAAAAAAAATGTCAAGCAGATATTTCAAATCTTAATAAAAAGAAATTGATTAGAAATTTAATTTATGTAAATGATCTTAAGGAAATAAAAGATTTTAATTCGCACATGTCCAACAATTTTCTTCAAATTTTCTTCAAATTTAGACATATTGGATTAGTATACTTAAACGTGGAATAAACACTCTTCACACGTTACATAAACATTATTTACATTATTATTATTGCAATATTCAATAGTTAATAACATAGTCTAGAAAAACTAACTAAGTATTCAATTTTCCATTGGAATTTTTCATGACTAACTGAACCATATTAATTAAAGAAAACGAAATGAGTCAGAGACTTAAATTCACATTCTAATAATCATAATTTTACTATTAACAAGCTAAAATGCAACATGATTTCATATAAAGCCTAATCTACATGTATCAAATATATCCTTTCTTTGAATAAAACAAGGCCCTTTTTCTTAAGGGTCTGTTTGGTTCAAATGAGGGGGAGGGGAGGAGAGAGATTTTAATGAAGGGGAGGGGAGGGGAGGGGAGGTGAAGGAATTTTTTAATCAAATAAGTGTTTGGTTCAAAAGAGAGGAGGGGAGGGGAGGGGAGGGATTTTAATTAAAAATGTGTTTGGTTCAGAAGGGGAGGGGAGAGGTTTTATTAATAATTTACATTTTTATCCTTATGATCTTATATAAGTCATACGATATTAAAATGTGAAAAATTCGTATTTTTGTTGGTAATAAAATTTCTAATATTGAGTGATTAAAAAAATATTTATTTGTCACATAAAGTTAAAAAATTGAGTATAATTGATTCGACTTATAACTTTCCAACATAAATTAAACTATATGCCAATAACATCGTTTAAATTATGATGAATCATATAACAAAACAAATATATAAAATAACTTATTACTAAATATTAATGGTTCAAAATATTTAATAAAATGAATAAACAAAAATAAATAAAATGATATGGTTTACAATTTGATATAAAGGAAAATACGATAGAGTACATAACAAAATTAAAAGAAAAAAACGAATATAACGAAACATAATTTTTTTATAAAAAAAAGACAATGATTATGATTTATATTAATTATAAAAATTATAAAATAATTTGAAGGTGGAGAACAATTATAATAAGTTGATGAAAACAATCGAGAAAAAACAGTAACACAAAAGATAACAAATAGTTTTGAAATAATAAAATTAAATTGAGGATATTTTAGTAAATATAATAAATTTTAAATATTAAAACTCATATTCCCTCCCCTTCCCTCCAAATCCCCCCAATTCGGAGGGAACCAAAAAGTGTGTTTTGGAGGGATTTTGCTCCCCTCCCCTTCCCTCCTAAAATTTGAACCAAACATATTTAATTAAAAATTTCCCCTCCCCTCCCCTCCCCTCCCCTCCCCTCCATCTACCCCGAACC